GTCTGCCAAAAGTGGCTGAGAAACTTCACATCACGGTCAGAAGTGATAGTCTTAGGAATGTCATAAAGACGCGCAATCTCCTTAAAGTATAAGTCTGCTACTTGAACAGCATCATTAGTCTTCTGGCATGGAACGAAATGGGCCATTTTTGAGAAATGATCCACAACTACCATGATAGAATCTTTTTGCCTCTGAGTCCGTGGTAAACCCAGAACAAAATCCATAGTTATATCTTCCCAAGGTGCTTCTGAAATTGGCAGAGGCATGTATAGTCCGGTATTCTGACCCTTGGATTTAGCCAAGTGACAAATTCTGCATCTTTGTATATGCCTGTTGACATCCCGTTCAAGTCGAGGCCAGTAAAAGTTTTCCTTCACCAGGTCAACTGTTTTATCCCATCCAAAATGTCCTACTAATCCACCGTCATGTGCTTCCCAAATTATGGCTTCTCTTAAGGAACCCTGTGGAATATAGAGGGTTTTACCTTGAAATAAAAACCCGTCGTGTCTGTAGAACTGGTGGAAAGGTTGATTTACAGTTGCTTCCCACACTCCTTGGAAATCAGGATTATCTTGATACAACTCTTTGACAAGGTCAAATCCAACAACCTTAGTTTGAAGTGTTGTAAGTAGCACATGGCGACGACTAAGGGCATCAGCTACGGAGTTCAGAGTTCCAGCCTTATATTTGATAAGGAATGGATAAGACTGTAAGAGTTCACTCCAACGAGCATGTCTGCGACTGATCTTCTGTTGAGAATTCAAATACTTGAGAGTCTCATGATCAGAAAAAAGTATGAACTCTTTATTCAAGAGATAATGACTCCAATTTTAGAGAGCTCGAATAATGGCATAGAATTCCTTATCATAGGTAGAATATCTAAGCTTGGCATCATTAAGCTTCTCACTAAAAAAGGCAATGGGATGGCCCTCCTGGCTTAAGACAGCACCAATGCCGGTGTTAGAAGCATCACAACTAACTTCAAACACTTAGTTAAAGTTAGGAAGAGCTAGGATTGGAGCTTCAGTCAACTTCTTCTTAATCTCCTCAAAGCTTTTCTGAGCTTGCTCTGTCCACTGAAACTTCTCTCTTTTGGTGCAATCTGTAAGTGGTGCAGCAATTGAACTAAAATTATGGATGAACCTCCTGTAGAAAGAAGCTAACCCGTGGAAGCTTCAAACCTCCTGGATAGATTTTAGAATTGGCCAGCTGTTAATGGCTGCAACTTTGCTTGGATCAACGCGAACACCCTCTGCGGTAATGATGTAACCCAAGAACACAACTTCGTTGGTAAGGAAGGTGCACTTCTTGAGATTTGCATAAAGCTTCTGTTCATGTAAGGCTTGCAAAACTTGCCGTAAGTGATCTAAATGCTCCTCTTGATTCTTACTGTAAATAAGAATATCGTCAAAGTACACAACAACAAATTTACCAATGAAGGGTCTCAATACTTGATTCATCAGGTGCATAAATGTGCTAGGGGCATTTGTTAACCCAAAAGGCATCACATTCTACTCATATAAGCCATCTCTAGTCTTGAAAGCGGTCTTCCACTTATCTCTTGGCCGAATTCTAATTTGATGGTACCTATTACGAAGGTCAATTTTGGAGAAAGTAGTGGCACCATGCAATTGGTCCAGCATATCATCAAGCTGAGGTATCGAAAACTGATACTTAATAGTGATCTTATTGATGGCTCGACAGCCAATGCACATTCTCCAACTTCTATCCTTCTTAGGTACTAGAAGAACAGGTTTAGCGCAAGGGCTGAAACTTTCTCGAACTAACCCTTTCTTCAATAACTCTTCAACTTGCTGTTGGACTTCGACATGTTCCTGGGGACTCATCCTGTAAGCAGGCTTATTAGGAATGAATGCTCCTGGAACGAAGTCAATGGCATGCTGTATGTCTTATATTGGAGGCAACTCTGGTGGTATCTCATCAGATATTACATCTGAAAATTTTGACAATAGCAAAATGACTCCAAGTGGATTGGCTATCTCGTCGTTCACCTCAAGCACCAGAATAAAGCTCATCATTTGGGCTTCGGATTTCGACACCTTGAATTCCTCCTTAGTCAACAAAGACACTAACGGCTTAGAGACACTAGATTCCCTTGAAGATTGGCTAATTTCACTGGGTGGTTGAGGCGCTAGTGTGAACTTGATAACATCTTTCATAAAATAATAAGTGTTCGCTCGCCTGTTGTGCATAGCATGTCGGTCATATTGCCATGGCCTCCTCAAGAGAAGGTGGCATGCATCCATGGGAATAACATCACATAAAACTTCATCACAATATCGATTCCCAATAGAAAAGGTCACAAGGTATTATTTAGAAACTTTTACCTCATTCCCTTTGTTGAGCCAGTGAAGCTTGTAAGGTTGCGGATGATCTTATGTTGGCAACTTCAATTTCTCCACCATGTAGTCAGATACTACATTTTCACAGCTTCCACTGTCAATAATGACATTACAAACTTTTCCTTGGGCCGTGCAATGAGTGTGAAAAATGTTGCGTCGTAGCCAAGGTTCTTCTTTGACTACTGTTATATGCAGACTTTGTCTAAGCACCAATGCTTCTCCTTGATCAGCAGGTGTGACCTCCTCGTCATATACAGGATCAGTGCCGTAGAACTCAGTGTCCTCCTCATCTTCTTTAAGCGCTTCATACCCTGATCCTTCTCGAATGGTGACAACCCTTCAAGTAGGACAGTCCGCAGCAATGTGGCCAAATCCTTGGCATTTAAAGCATTTGATTACTTTAGAACCAAATTCCTTGGCAGCATTGGATGGTGGTTTGTGTATAGCAGTAGGTTGTGGCTTGCTTGAGGAGTTGGTCTGCTAAAATTCTACCTTACGGCCTTCTGGATAACCCCTAGAGGATAAAGGTTGGAAAGTGGATCTCTTGGGCATCTGCTTCTCAACACGCATGGAAGACTGATATCTGTGTTTAAGCCTGCAAGGTACCGGGCTATTGTTTGCTCCTCCTTCTCCTGAATATCACACTTCATCATGAGTTGTTCAAACTCTCTAGTATATTCTTCTACAGATAAAGATCTCTATTGAAGATTTTGCAACTGGATAAAATTATCCTGGTGGTAATGATCTGGCAGAAATTTCTTGGTGAGCGGGCGTTTCATTTTCTCCCAAGTCTCAATCTTGCGCTTTCCCTCATGTTCCCGCTTCCGTCTGAGGTTTTCCCACCAAATAGAAGCATGTTTCTTGAGTTTGAGGGCGACAATTTTGACTTTCTGCGTATCTGGAATCTCTTTGTATTCAAATACTTATTCAACAGTTTGCAGCCAATCTACAAACTCGTCTGGCTGGAGTCTTCCCTCGAATTCAGGAATGTTGACCTTGATATCATTAGGGTGGAATTGTTGTTGTCGTGGACAGCGGCAGTTGTCGGTGGATGATGAACTGCTTCTTCCAGAATCTCCCTCTAAGTTTTCTCTGTTGTTGTTTAACTGAGTTCGCTGCAATTCCACAGTGGCTTCCAACTCTCATATCCTACGTCTCATCTCTTCTATCTCAACCTCGTGCACATGTCTACATCTTGGAGGCATTTTGGATAGGTATCAAGACTAGGGATATAGGAAAGATTAGGGTACGGATGGAGACGTTGAAAAGATATAAGGATAGAATGGGATTTTTGGAAAGGCTAGGGAAAAAATAGGAATTTTAAAAAAATAAGGGGGTCAAACTTCAATTTATAGAAAATATAGGGGTCAAAATGGAATTTAGGTAAAATAAAGGGGCAAAAGTGTAATTTTAGGAAAGATTAGGGGTAAAAATGGAATTTAGGAAAATATTGGGGTCAATATGGAATTACTGAAAGATTTGGGGCGAAAATGTAACTTTTGGAAATTTTAGCTGACTGGGTTTAGTGACGCGACAGAAAGTGACACGTGGCAGAGAACGATTGGATGACCTACGTTTGACCAGTCAGATAGATGACGTGGCAGATGACATCATCGTTGTCTACCTTGGAATGGCGCGTGCGAAGACAGCGTCGACGCGTGTTGTTCCGGCAAGGCGCATGTGGGCGCGTGATGAATTTTCCGGCGACGGGGAACCTCCTGTTCCACGTTTTCAGACCTCCTGAGCGCGATGGTGATGTTAGTTTTTTGAGAAAAGGCCTGGATTTCAAAACGAGAAGACATTAGGGACTCCTTCACTGAATCTCTCTCTTTTCCGACGTACTTTCTCAACTGTAACTCACTCTCTCACTCTCTGGACCTTGCTCTGATACCAAAATGGCACAGAATCCGAATGAAAATAAGCAATTTTATTCTTTCAAGTTTGAGCTCCTTATATAACCAAAGGGCCCTATTTATAGTTCTGGAATCGTGAAAAACTGAAGCTTAAATTAAAAGGGAGGTTATAGAAATTAAGGAGAGGTTACAAAGAGTTTATTGTGCTCCATTATGCATCTCCCATTTTTGTTCTTTCCGTTTCATCTCCATTATGCGTCTTTCGTTTCTGCTCTCTCCGTTTCATAAAGGTATTCAAAGGTCCTTCAATACGAGTTTCCCTATATAACAGGGTACTAAGTGTAGCTTAGAATTTCTTAAAAACAAAATCTTTCATATTAAGAAAATGGAAAATGGAACACATTGAATGACTGGGTCCAACAACCCTTACATGACTCAAACCCATAAAACCACCGTTGAGATCCATTTCCATTCTCTGATGCGTACCCAACAAATCCAAACCCACACAAATTTTTCTGTCTTAATGAAAAACAAATGACATGGCATGCATTTTATTGTAATTACTGTTTAGGCAACTGTAAATTTAAATCTACAATAAACACGTTTATCAGTTACAATAAGGAAAATATTTTTAAGCAGTGATATATGAGTTGTCAGCTAACAACCGACTCGAAATTAATAAATTTAGAAAAACCTCACTGAACGAAAAATGCACACAAGGGAAGTTATGTCAACTTCATGTAGCCATTCCTTGAGGCTTTTCTTGTCCATTGCCACAACACTGTTTCTGAATGTAACTACTACAACCTGTATTACCCACTTTTATAATATTGGGGTACAAAGTATAATCGCTATTGTTAACTTTAGGGAAGAAAATATAGGAGAGAAAAATAAGAGACAAAAAACTAGAAGAAAAGGACATTTTTCAGCCATGTTTTCTCCAAATTTCCACCGATAAAGAGGGGGAAACTAAAAGAAAAACTTTATGCAAATGAGGGAAAATGTCTTTTTTCTTTACTTTTCTCTCCTTCATATTTTCTCCTCAAAAGGAAATTAAAACACAGCAACACAGACATATACATATACACACACACACACACACACACACACATATATATATATATATGTGAAGAAGTTGAGATGGTCCATTTCTGATTTAGCGTGATAGTGATTAAGGATTGTTGATGCATCTAATGAATTGGGGAGGTGAGACCTTCTTGAGAAGACAAGGGATGCTGGTGTCTCTTGGAAGGGAAGGACAAAGATGATGCAGCTTTTCTGAAAGAAGGACGCTTCTTGATGCGTTGCAGAGTCTGCTTTGTGTAGATTTCACGAAGCAGAGGTGAAGAGAACTCTCTGAACTTTAAAAGGAGGAAGAGAAAAAGTCTGAAGGATATGAGAATGAGTGCCACTGCAGCTAAGTCCCACCATTTTGAATGATCAACTTGAAGGCCAAGCACGGTTCTCAGGATGAATTCTCCTTTTATTTTTGGGTCTCCAGGATTCATTCCATCAAACTCCAACCCCATCATGTCGTTCTTGTAAGCACCCTGCATTGTCCAAAATCACTGGGTAGGCTAAGTAAAGTTGTTAATATACTTCACTCTTTCTTGCATTTGTTTCCTGACCAACATGGAATCATAAAGTGACTTCAACTAAAGGAAAAAATGAGAGAGATATACGAAAGTAAGGCAATGATCATTAGATCATAAGGAGACAAATAGGTAAATGGGATAGGTCTTAGGAGGCCTATTTATCCATGTATCTATTTCTCTCATTACATCATCGTGCTACTGTAACAGAGATACAAACCCAATGATCAATATATATCTAATTGCCCATTTATCTCTTTACTTTAGGTGAAATTACTTTAAAATTCTCAATTTGTATCCATCCAAATATTGTGTTTTCTTTCTGCCCCTTTTTTTTTTGGTGGCCTGAACATTTTCACTCCATCTAATGAGTGGTGGACATGCCACTTGATTTGGGGAAAATTTCACAAAGAACCCCAATTCATTTTGTTATTTTTTTATCAAGACCAAACAAATAACTAGTTAAACCGGAACCAGTTCCAAATTCAGTTCGATCACAAAAAATTAAAAAATTTAAAAGCTAGCCAAAACCGATTGAACCAGGCATATTACTTTTTTATTTTTATTTTAAATTTATATTTTTAAATTATAATTTATACATACATATACCTAATAAGCATTCTAAAATGAAAAAATGCAACAAATATGTATGCATTATGTATATATGTATATATTTTGAAGTTATAAATTATAAATTGTGAAATAATTATATATTATTTAGATGAAAATGATGTAATATTGATGTATATTATGTTTTTTATTGCATATTATTTTGTTTGAAATTTCAATATTCATTTTTGTTATTATGCATGATTATTTCTTTCTATTTTAAATACATAATATTTAAAATATATTAATTTATTATTGACCACAATTCAAATAATAATTTGACTATTGAATTATAAATTAATATTTCAAATGAATAATCCGATTTTCATAACATTGAGAATATAGATGAATAACTCTCGAGATACCTGTAATCCCCAAGCTCCAAAATTGAGGTATAAGATTGGATAACGCCAGAAGACTTTGGGAAGGTCAGGACGTAGACGGAAGTATCCAGAAGTCATCATCATGACACCCTGCATAAGACGCACAGATATTCACAAACAGAACTTGAACCTGAATCATCTAAAATGATGACTAAAAATAATGAGAAAAGGGCATTTAAATGCTCTCTAAAAACATCAATTACAATTAAAAATCTTGAAATTTTGAAATTTTAAAAAAAGACTATAGTTCTTGGCTGAAATTTAATTTTTTAAGTGAATTTCTTTAATACTCATTTTTCATATTTTCAATACTTAGCTTCAAAATTTTCAGTACTCATCTTTAACATTTTTTATATTCAAATCTTCACTTTTTTAACTTTTAATAGTCATATTAAATGTTTTCAATGCTCATCTTCCATATTTTTGACACTTATTGTTTATTGTTTTCAGAACTGAAAAATATAAAAGATGAGTATAGAAAATATCTAAGATAAAAATTGAAAAATTAAGCACTGATAATGTAGAATATAAAAGATGAGTATTGAAAATATGAAACATAAGTATTGGAAAAAAAATTTAACCCTGAAAAATTTTAATTCCAACCAAGGACCATTACTTTTGGTTTTTTTTTTCACTGCTGAAAACATAAAAGATAAATATAGAAAACATCTAAGATGACTACTAAAAAAAATTGAAAAATTAATTGCTGAAATGTTTCTGTGGAAGATGAGTATTGAAAATCTCAAACATAAGCACTGAAAAGAATTAACTCAAAAAAAAATTTTTAACTCCAGCCAAGGACCATGATGCTTATATGAAATTTCAAAATTCAAGATTCTTAAATGTGATTAATGTTCTAAGTCTCTTTAAATGTCACCTTCCCAAAAATAAATGTGGGTGAAACATTCAAGCTTATATGAGTTCTTACAACATATCCTGCTCCAACTATGACTCCCATTAGGAAGTTAGGAACGAGTGAAGCTATAATCATCATTGCAGTCTCCACAACAGCAATACAGCAACAAAGATCGATGCATCCATACAGAAGAAGAGAAAAGCCAGGATGAAGCTTAACCATATAGAAGGTTATAATCCCAGTAGCGAAAGACATGGCGAACACAAAAGGAAGAGAAGACAGAAAGTTTGACAGAACATAGACTGCATTGCCGTAATAACCATTGAGCCTTTCTTTCTTAAACACCTGCTTCATGAAAAGAAAAAAAACTAACAAATGAAAACTTCACAAACACCAAAACTGTATTCTCATGTCCTTTGTTTTTGCATGCATGGAAGCAGATTATATAATTCTTAATGAAGCTCTGCGTGATTGTTGGCCTTTCCTGGCCCTTGATCTACAAATCAGTCAGTACCTTCACTTTTCTTTTGTATGGCCTTGCCATAAGCTTTTTCTTCAAACAAACAAAGAAATGAAACGGCTTGCATACATGGTCATTTAATATTATGTGGGAATTGGTGTCAGTTTGGAAGTGGTTAATAATGTTACTTTGTTAGGGAATTCATCTTTTAGAATAAATCAGCAATTCACCCACGTCTATCAGAAAGGGTCCTTAAGAGCTCAAAAACCCTCATATCCCAAATAATCATTTTTATTTAAATTTCTAATTATACTAACATACAATTTAACAAATTGCGTCATTTTCATATATTACTTCAAAAATTAAAATAAAAGAAACAATTTTTTAAAAATTTCAACCATATGTTGAATAAAAGAAAAACATACAGGAACAAAAAACAAGGCTTAAAAGGGTTAAGTTTAAGCCCATTTTAAAGGGCTTTTTTTTTTTGGCCAAACACTTTAAAGGGCTTATGCAAGTTGGGCTTAAAGGCCCCTTTATGTAGAAATCTTTTGTACATGTTTTTTTTCAACTCCAGCCTTAAAAAAAAAAATGCAAGATCTAAATGAGTAACTCGAAAGGCCAAATCTTTATTAATGGCTTTACACCTACGTGATGCATGGGAGTATTTCGCAATTGTTGTCAAATAATATGTTAGAATGTCTTGTGAACTGAATAAACCCTTTCTTTCGCCAAGTATGATCTAATGATATAAATGTTTTGATTTCTCCTTTCATCTTTATCTAGATGATATAGTCACTAAATATTCAGAAACAACCTTTTCATTACATGGATCAAATAAAAAATTTGACTATACTTGGCTGCTAAGAATTGTATTTGAGCCTTCTGAAATTGTATCAAACAGTTCATACCTTCATCTCTTCTATGAAAGATGGGAAGCCTCCAATGGACATGAATGTCATGAAACCAGATATGAATGCACCACAAGATCCTCTGGCGAAAATTGCCCTATAACTTGTTCCAACATCGAAAAAGACAGTTCCAACACACAAAGATAAGCCCACGTAGATTATTATCCTTATCCAGTAGTATCCAGCATCTCTACACATGTTCACAAAAGATCTCTGAGTCAATGTTGACAGCTGCTTCCACCATTTGGCTTGGTCCTTGCTTTTACTTTCACTCTCTTTTTGTCCCTGCAACACAATTCCTTAGCCTTCACTGTCTATTCTTATAGAGAAGATAAAATATACTCTTGGATACAGAGCATGAGTTCTTGAAAATTCAGTTTTGAATTCTAAGTTTGGGAGCCGAAATTTGCTTTCAGTGTTGACTATCTTCAAATTAAGATAAGGAAATTATGAATATGACTTCACCTAGGTTTGTCTCATGTTCTTCTCTGAACCAACCATCAAAGAGAAGACAAGACACTTTTGAAGTTTGATAAAGTGCTACTGACAAGATTTGAGACAACTTACAGTTTTTGAGATTTCTTTTATTCTTGATCTTGCTGTGGCAGCATATTCTGACCATTGGTATTTCTCAACAAGTATTTCTTTGATTTCTCCAGTTGATAGATTATCTTGTTCCTGAATTCACAAAATTGGATAGTAAGCAATTTTGAGGGGAAAAGCATGTCAGAACAGTAAAACTTAAATCAATTTTCCACTAAAATGTTGGATTTCTCTGTCTTTTTCTTTGTCTTTTTCTTTTTCTTTTTCTTTTTTTTTTTTTCTATTTTTGGTGCCTGAAACACTAAAATGCTGGATTTCAGGATAAGAGTATTTTTCCATGAATAATAAATAAATCACAAATTAAGAGCCTCATCGAGATCCGACATGTGACAGCAAAACTTGTTAGGACATACGTACAGGTATTTTCTGAGATGCCATCATGGTCATTGTGATTCTGTCAAAATCTGCATTAATACAACGAAGGAAGTGATCTGATGGATTTCTTCTACTTGGACATGGAAATCCTGCTTTGGCAAAGAACTGTTGACTCAGATCAAAAAGAAAATGTCAGTATGGAAATGCCGGTATTCCAGCATGATCAATCTCATTAGTCCCATATGTGGGTATATTTAGACTGACCAATAAATCATGAACACGTGTAAGTGCGCGCGCACAAAGTCCAAGTTACTTAGAACTTCTTTAAACTACTCCTGTCATTTTTATAAACCATTTTTACCAACCTCTTTAATATCAATATAAAAAAATATAAAAAATAAAAATATATAAAATTTTAAATATATTTCTATATAATAAATTTAAAAAATGATATCATGTAATTTTTTTTATTAAGGATAATTTTAAAAATACATTTTAAATATCATTTAAAAAGTCACATCATAACTTATAAATAAGATCAAATATATTTTTTAAAATATGTCTTATAAATAAAATATGAGGGAGTACTAACCTTCCCAATTATTTGTCACAATTAATGTAATGAGCATGTCATTGACACAATGTAAGGGAAGATGACACTTGAGGACCTTCTGAAAATATTGGTTACAAATAAGACCCCCACAAAAAATGACATTTCAAAAAAAGATTATGATTTTTAATTAAGATTAAAAAATTTTTAATTGAATTTTTGAATACTAATCTTCTATATCTTTAGTAGTTATCTTTAACAATTTCAATAATTCTTTTTTAGTTCTTTCAGTAGCATTTTCAAATACTCTTTTTCTATAATTTTTGAACTAGAAAGAATTAAAGATAAATATTTTTCAATATTAAAAACATGAAAGATAGAAATTAAAAATATATAAGTTGACTGCTAAAAACATTAACTAAGAAAAAAATTTAATTTCAGTTAACAATTATGATCTTTTTTTTTAATTTCAAAATCTCAAAACCCTTAACTGTAAATAATATTTTTAGAAGGTCATTAGATGACACTCTCCTGATATGTAATGCAAACGCAGACAAGCGAGAAGAACTAGTTACCCTATTTTTAGCCTGAAAAAGTAGTTACTCTGAAAAGTAAAAACCGACAAGCAAAAGCAAATATCCGGGAACAATAAATGCACCTCAACTGCCATTTTGGCTGCTCCAAAAAACACAGTTTGACCACCAGAGAGCAAGAAAAGATCATCAAAGAGTGCAAAGACCTCACTGCTTGGTTGATGAATGGAGGAGATAACAGTTTTTCCATCATGAGCAATATTTCTCAGGGTTTGAACAACAAAAAATGCCGAGGCACTATCTAGCCCACTGGTAGGTTCATCAAGAAACAAGAGGGAAGGTCTTGTGAGGATCTCAAGTGCTATGCTTAGTCTTTTCTTTTCCCCACCACTTATACCTCTTAAATGCCAATTCCCGATTGGCCTATCAGCACATTGTTCAAGACCCAGTTCCAGAATTGTTCCCTCCACTATGTCATTCACCTCTTCTTTTGTCATGGTGCTTGGAAGTCTTAGTTTTGCTGAGTAAGATATTGTTTCCCTCACTGTTAGTGTTCCCAACAATATGTCTTCTTGGGTCACATAAGCCTGAAAATTTCAGAGAGGAGAAAAGCACAGCTTTTTAGGGAAGTTCTCAAATAAAATAAACTACTGAGAGAAATTTTAGTACAGTTTACTTTAACTCCATGGTCTCCTCTCTTCTTTCCATTTACTAGCACATTCCCAGTCATGACAACATTTCCAGGAAGCCTACCTGCAACATGTCCAGAATCATTTGTTGAAAAATCCTTAAAACAAGCTTTTTCATGATTAAGAATAAGAAAAACACTGAATAATGTGACACTATTTGTAATTTAAAATATGTTGTCCTTCTGAAGCATTGCAGCTTCATAGGTTGTGAAGAAGAAGTAAAGCATTTCAAACAGGAACAAGATGAGAGGGAGTGTGTGCGTAAATCTCTTGCTTTACTTTAATTCAATGGCTTCATTTCTCTGTATGTTTGTCTTACTTTAATGGGCACATCTGCGAGACCTTCAACCATGTACCAGGAAGATGTTTCTTCGAATAAAAATATCGTACACGCATTGATTTGCATTTTTGTTTGTAGGGGCATATATAACTTGTCCCTTTCGACCACGGAAGGCAAAAAAACCTCGGGCCAGAGAAAATTTTCTATCTTGCATATTAAATATGTAACAGTTAAGAACTATTTAAACGAGTGACCTAGAATTCTTTATTCTGACACACAGCCCTCAACGTACTAATACTAATGAACCAACACATTGTCTTTAAGATGATAACACAGGAAACAGACCCCACAAATAAAGGGGTTAGATTAGAATTGTAATATTGCGATTAAATGTCAACAACCAGCTGAGCAATAACATGAAGATCATATCAATGAAGCTCCCCTGCACCAAAGCAGAAAAACAGGAAGAAAAATAAAGAAACTGAGATTTTATTTTTCCAGATGCATAGCAGATATTAGCCATCTTTTGTTTGTCTCATTCTGCTGTATTGAATGTAATCCAAGTGTTGTACGTGTTTGGATATGAACGGAGGAAACAAGTTATCAAAATAGAAAACAAGAAGCAATTTGATGTAGTCCAGGCACATGTGCAGTACACAGAAGTATAAAGAGACTTGCTTTGATATAAAACCGGATTCAAGCTATGTTGTCTTGCATGATCAACTGATGAAACACAAAAAGCTTGAAGTATCTTGCACACGCATACAATGGGAGAGAGAAGTGGATAGAGAGAGAGAGAGAGACCTGCCAAAGCATCAAGAAGAGTGGATTTGCCAGAACCAGAAGGTCCCATGATGGCCATGATTCTGTTAGGCTCAGCATATCCACTCAACCTATCAAGCAGCCTCTTGGTATGTCCCTTGCCGAAGTTTGGAACTACCACAGCTAAATCTTCCCACACCAGATACAGTCCTCTCTCAGTACTTCTGCCTCCACTGCAGGGGGCCACAGCAATGTCTTGCTCTATTTCCATGGCCTAACTATAAGAGAGAAGAGGCCCTTAAGAAGAGAGGTGGGAGAGGGGGAGCTAGGGAGCTGGCCCATATAAATAGACACATTAAATTAAGTGGTCTCCAATCATGGGGTGGCCGAAGACAAGATACTTACGTTTTTTCTTGAACATCATCTCACGCGTTCTTTTATTAACTATATATATATATATATATATATCCAATTACTTTTGTGACTTCAAAGAATTTGGATTGATCAGCAATATAGATGGACTACTGCTTCTTGTAATCTGTTATTGTGAAGAAGACTTTAACACAATTCGATTACTATTTCCTATTAAGATTCTTAAGGAAATCTATTTAAAGAAAAAATTCATTTAGTAAACGTGACAAGCGAAATAATTAAATAAGTCAAGAACAAATTGATAAGTTGAAAAAGTAGTAGTGCTTTGTGCCACACTATTATTGATGTTGATGTTGAAGAACTAGCATCAAACACTTAGCAAGCAATAAATTAGTCCCGTTACCAGACACCGTCACACCAGCGGCAGACTGACAGACGGCAAGTAAACTGTGAACAAACAAGAAACCCAATATCAAACTTTACCATTATTTTTTTAATTAAAAAAAATATGTGATGCAATTTAAAAAATAAAAAATCACATAACAGTTGAATGAAGGTATTGGTTGTTAAGTCATTGTTAAAGAACTTAACATAGAACACCTAGCGGACAGGAGGTCAAGTCCCATTACTTCCCTGTGCAACAAAAAACCCTATTTAAACAATCAAAGAAATTGGTTCAGCTGCCAAGAATGTGACCAACCAATAGAGTTTGAATCACATTCTTATCAATAATGTGAGTGTTTCATAAGGGGAAAAAATCAGAAAAAATCTGTATAAAGGCTCCAAAACTACCCTGATCAATGGTCATATAGTACGTACGTCTTTTATTTCATTCAATACATCCAAATATGTTACAACAAAATAATAAAATAAAAAGGAACGTATACGGAGTAGAGGATATAGTAAAGTGAAAAGTGAGTAGGGAGGGAAGATATAGACTCAGCTTGAAAGAAGGGGGATAGTAATTCGTTCTAACTAAAACCTGCTTGACAATAAATTCCATAATGGAGGGTTCACCAGTAAGGAAATTTATTTATAACGTGCAGAAGAAAGAAGAAAGATCGGAGAGGTCTTCACCTTTTTCTTCTTTCCATTTTGATGACATGAAGTTGAATTAAATGGAACATATTCAATGTTCGAGGCTTCAAGGTCGGGATATATATATATATATATATATATTTTTCCCTTCGTTTCTTCCTTATGACACCTGCATCTCCCAAGCTTGCACATATTCCAATGTCTTTGTCCGGTATGAATCCGATCATGCATTTTGGAAATTTATGTGATTTTCATTTTTTAAAATGTTTGGGGATTTAAATTCAATTGTAATAAAATATTAATTATTTTTATTCTATTTTACTTTTGCTTAATGAAAATAATTAGATAGGGCATGTGAAACAGTAGTATGCAGGAAAACATAAAATCTTATTTATAGATTTTTATCTAACAATTTACACAACCACAAAATTAATTATATTTGATGGTTGTTTTAACTTATGTTGAAGGGTTAAGAATTATCCAATTTGCTGCACTCATATATTCATAAAATAAATATTAAATGATTAGAACCATCTAATATTTGGAGCCAATATAAAACAGTTTTTTGATAGCATCTAATATGAGGTACGGCATATGAGGCTTTAGGATGGAAGGCTTTATTTGATTTGGACAGTTATTTCTATTAACTTCCAATATGTGAAGCTATATATTACATGGTTGTGGCTATAACATTTCAATATCAATATGTTCTGCTTTTTTTTTTTTTTTTTTTGATCAATACAACTTTTTGCAATAGTACAACATAAATACAATAAATCCAGCCTATTTCTAGTTGAAATACCCAACAATAATAAGCTAAAAATTTTATTAAAACTATAATAGTCAATAGTTTTATATCCCAAAACTTTACCAACTTAAAACATAAATAAGAAAAACTACATAAAAAAAATGTCCCACTCACTTATTTGTTGCCGACAACTAGAAAATATCCTCACACCATTGTTGCATGACTTCATTAATAGGAGCGTCCTTGAATTCTTTACAATAAGAGCTAAGGTAATACTGCAATAATATAATATAACAACAAAGCTAGTTAATTAGTTGAGCAAAATTCATTATCACATATAATTAAAGTTGAATAACATACTGATGTAAAACAGAAAGGGGAAGGGTTGAAGGTAATGGTGGTAGTATGAAAACGATGTAATATGGGATAAAATATGATTAGAATTAGGATATTCAAATTATCCAGTAGATATATTTAAAGAAAGATATTTATCTATTTGAATCAGTTTTGATTATTTATTTTATTGTTATCTTAGATATCATTATGTTTAAGATTTTATTTAGATTTAGGATTTAATATTTAAATTATTATTATTATTATTATTTTAAGCCTCTATAAATAGATTTAGGCATATTACTACAAAATAAGCTTTTGGGGTCGTTCCCCCCCTTAAAAAGAGTGCTTTTAAAGAGCTCTTATAGCCAACATTTTAATAAGGACTGTCCCATAGTTTATTAAGGGACTAAAACCTAGCTATCTTCACCAATTTATTGAAAAGGTTAGCCTAAGGTATACAATAGCTCAAATATTAAAGAGTGGGGGAAACAATGGTTCGAGAATGAGTCATGTGATCTTTGGCTTAGTTACACCTCACAATTGGTGAGTTTGGATAGTCTAGTCATATGGACGGAGCCCTATTCAGTGTTATAACCCATGGTTTCAGTCGAAAAAAATAAAGAGGGTATAAGGATGGTTGATCATGCCTATATGATGTGTCACATGATTAAGTTATGGCAAGTCATGTTAATATATCAGGTTATAATCACATGTCTGTATATCTTGTGATAATATACTTTATGTTGAGATGAAAATAAGTTAACTGAGAAATGATAAGTTAGGAATTACGTGTTAATGCATGTTTTAAAAAAATCTATTTCGCACCCATGTATTTATTTCAACTGATATACAACTGCATAAGGTAAGCTTACCTTAACTATTGAGTGGCTAGACTCATGCCTCTTTTTTAACATTTTACAAGCTCTAGCTCTAGTACAGAGAGGGAGAAAGCTTTAGAGGCTTAAGAATCTATGTATTCCTAGTGTATGCCTCTATAATTTTATTTATTTTGTGTAACATAATTAATATTGTTAATTAGGATACATTTTTGTTTTACACTTGCACTATATAGTGGTTTATGATGTATGGATGTATTTTGAGCCCCAAGGAGTGGTTTATGATCAATTGTAAATGTTGATAGAGTCAATTTACTAGTACAAGTGTAGTCATGTTATTTTAAGTATGATATGATTGATTTTTAATGAAATGCAATGCGAAAACCTCCCCCTTCTATTTTTGGTATTAAAGGAGTTGAGGAATAAAATTGTGATATAGTGGTATATGTGTGCTTGTGGTGTGTTGCAAGTAGTCTTAGGTTTAATGAATATGGCTGAGTGTTAAGAATGATTTTTAGCACTTGTGTAGGGTTTTGGACACCCTTTTTATTGTGAAAGTTGAGCAAAGTAGTAAATTTTTGAGTGTCTAGTTTCCTGGTATGACTTGTTTTGAAAGTAAAATCTATATCGTTAGATAGTTTATAAAAATAATTTTCTGTAGGCATATAAATCATGTCATTCAGATGTCGAATAGAGAATTAGAGTATGTCAAAAGTTGCTCTGTTTCTGTTGTCATTTGACAACAAACTTGCTATCATGAGCATGTAACACGCCATGGCACATGGCGCCTATGCTACAGTGTGTTGTACAAAGAATGACAAGTAGCAGCGCAATGTGCACAAGCCATGGCGCACTATTCTGTTTTTAACAACATGAGATTTTTCAATTATTTTCAACTCATTTCACTCCTTTGAGGTATCCTATATTTTCGTAATACTATTTTACTCTAATTAAAGGTCAAATGTGTAGTTTTGACTTATTTTAAACTATGAAAATTTAGGGTCCTATTATTTTAAAATTACAAACTTGGTAATCTGTTTAAGGGTTAATCCTTTGATTACCATGGATTATCATGTTAATTGTGATTAAATAAGTAGGTATTACAATGGTTTAATGGTTCATTAATAATAGTGTGAGCTAAAGGAACCTAGTAAACCCAATGTGTATAATTGAAAGTGCATTTGTGATTTTGTTAAGCTAGGAATGATGAGTTAGTGTTGTGAATTATCTTAATAAGGATATTATTTATGAATGATGATATTATTTATGAATGATATAATTGATTGTAGATTTAATGACTTTTAGGTACCATTTAAGCTTGAGGAGAGATTTGGAAGTTTATTTTAGGGGGCAAATATTTGACCTCTCAAAAGTTTGAGGTACCCAAAAAAAATTTAGTTTATGCATTTGTTTGTTAATTGATTATTTATCGAAAAGAATTATTTGAAAACCAATTGATGGTTTTAAATCTAAATTTGATGCAAATTGTGGCAATATGAATAATTTATGTGATATAATGGAAATGATGAGCTTGGTGTTTGTAAATATATTTGTATTTATGGATGTTGTTACGAGATTGTAAAAGTGTACAAGAGTGCACATGCTAAAGAAATATGTGTTGAGTATGTTATGTTGAGATTAATTTTGATAGAATGGTATACTATGTGTTAACTTGTACATGACATAATCATTTATGGCGGGATTTTGCCTAGAAGAGAAGTAGTGATAAAATTCGCATGGTATAGGTGATTTATTGTTGGAATTGAAAGTTAGCTAGACTGTCGACCTTAGAATCGAGATATAGCCATCGTTCCATGGTTTATAAGGGACTATCCTACTAGTTCTTTGAGGGATTCAAACCTAACTAGTCTCTATCGATTCGTAAGGAGGTTAGCTTAGAAATACAACACCCTATGGTTGTTAGTACTAGGAAAACTAGGTCTCACAAGTGAGTATAGTAGTCTTGGGCGAGAAACTCCTTATGATTAG